AAAAGGTAGGAATCTGCAACAAAGTTTGTTAAAATCCTTGCAATGTACATAGATCATCCAGAGGTTGTTTTTTTCTCAACAAAAGTAGAGCTACACTTTAAAGCTTGTCAGTGCATGGCTTACCATATACTTATCCAGGGATTTTTTGGAGTAATTTTATCCAGACGTATTCCTTCTTTCTGCTTGAAAAGAATAGTGATAGACCCATGGTGCTGCCATGTACTGTGTTTTGTACACTGACATCTTCTCGTGGAGGTCCACTGTATCTGTATATTACACCATATTAAATTTCACCAGATGAGGACACTGCATTTGAAAATTTTAAAGTATACAGCCAAAACTTTATTCTTTTAGTTCAGGAAAGAAAAGTTAGAACCAAAATATGTATTAATCTGGAAATATCTGTCTCACTCTTGAACTAATTATCTATCTATCTATCTATCTATCTATCTATCTATGTTTTATCTATCTAATATGTATTGTAATGCTACCCCCGCAGGATGTTGCTGGTAATTTTCGGTCCTCTGCTTGTTCTCTGGCCCTAGCCGAAACCTCACTCTTACTGACACCACTAGAATACCTTGGCTAGGAGCCCTCAGTGGGCACAAAAGAATGGCACACAGTGACTGTTAAAAGATAAGACGATTGTGTTATCCTTTCACCTTGGTCTGCCAATATAATCAATATTTCAATGTCAACACATGACAAAACAATTCAATACCATTGACTCAGATAGCTTTAAGATTGAACTCAGTGTGTACTGCAGTACCCAGAGTATAAACAGTGGCCCTCCGAAGAGGGTGATCACACCCCAAGCAACAGTGGATGAATAACAAGAATGGCAGACTAGAACACTTGGGGGTACTCAGTCTAGAGGGGCTAAGCTTAAACAGCAACCCAGTGCTGTCACCAGGCAGGCCACAAGACCTTAACACTTCCTTGATGTAATCCTCAGCCGGCTCAGTTGGGGTCCTGTAGCATTGGCGTGCTAAACAGTGTGACATTGGAGGGTAAAGTTGCTTTAAAAGTGTGAAGTTCCAGAGCAGATTGACACAAAGAGTTTGGAAACAGTAAGTATGCCCCTTTAAGTTAGCTCAGTAAAAGCAAATGTGGTAGAGGGAAGGAATGTGCAATACAAGAAAAAGGAGAGGATATTCCAAAAACAGCAGTCTGGGTTTAGTAATAACTTTGAAGTTAATAGTGGCAGCAAGTAGTTGGTTCCTATTGGGAAACAATGTCAGTGAAAGGTCATAGCCTGGCTAGGCTTGCATGGCAAACAAGGTCTGTAACCCTCTTACCCAAATCATTCTGCTGCAGTCCCTGAAGAATTACACGCTGTCTATACGGTGGGGGGGGCCCCCTTAAGTGGTGTGATGCAGCTGCTACAGTCTGGATGCACCACTCAGCTTGAACAGGCCCAGCCCAGTCTAAATTAAACAGCACGGCATAGCACAATCACACACACACCTTCCAGATTTAATTTCTCTCCCAACTGCCCCAGCTCCTTCCCGGGCTTTTCCTTTTATAACAACCCTCCCCTTGGTTGGTGCTTGTGGGCCTTGTAGTTGTGACTTCAGCTTTACTGTATTAATGTCCTCCCCTAGAACTACATCTCCCAGAATACTACGAGCACTTGTTTTAGGGCTACGGCAAGGTGAAGCGCTGAATGCTGCCATCTTGTGGGAAAATAGTGTTATACATGTTCAGTAACAATGGTCAGTGTTGTGGTATTCATATGTATTATCATATCTACTATACAGTGGGGCAAAAAAGTATTTTGTCAGCCACCAATTGTGCAAGTTCTCCCACTTAAAAAGATGAGAGAGGCCTGTAATGGCATCATAGGTAGACCTCAACTATGAGAGACAAAATGAGAAAAAAAAAATCCAGAAATCACATTGGCTGATTTGGAAAGAATTTATTTGCAAATTATGGTGGAAAATAAGTATTTGTTCACCTACAAACAAGCAAGATTTCTGGCTCTCACAGACCTGTACCTTCTTCTTTAAGAGGCTCCTCTGTCCTGCACTCATTACATGTATCAATGGCACCTGTTTGAACTTGTTATCGGTATAAAAGACACCTGTCCACAACCTCAAACAATCACACTCCAAACTCCCTATGGTGAAGACCAAAGAGCTGTCGAAGGACACCAGAAACAAAATTGTGACCTGCACCAGGCTGGGAAGACTGAATCTGCAATAGGCAAGCAGCTTGGTGTGAACAAATCAACTGTGAGAGAAATAATTAGAAAATGGAAGACATACAAGACCACTGATAATCTCCCTCGATCTGGGGCTCCACGCAAGATCTCACCCCGTGGGGTCAAAATGATCACAATCACAATGTCTGTCAATCTAATAAAATCTGATATAAAACTGGGGGATATACATTTGTCAAGTTGTAAAGTACTATTATTATCTATCTATCTATCTATCTATCTATCTATCTATCTATCTATCTATCTGCGATAGATAGATAGATAGATAGATAGATAGATAGATAGATAGATAGATAGATAGATAGATAGATACAGTAGATAATGGATGGATAGATAGATAGATAGATAGATAGATAGATAGATAGATAGATACATAGATAGATGGATAGATAGATAGATAGATAGATAGATAGATAGATAGATAGATAATTAGTCTTCTGTCCAATTATTATGGTATCCATGCTTCTTGCCCTTGATGAAGTGCCTTATTTATAACCTGCCCCTGGATGAAATAAATTGATAAAACACTGCATTGAATTTAACCTTCAATAAGACACATGTAAAACCCAATTTATATAACACACTGTGAAGTCCTCCCCTAGGAGCTTTCAGTGTTTATGAGCTTTGCCATCAATCAGGGTAATGTAATTAAAGGGAAACTCCATTTACATCAAAAATTTATATAACACATATAATTAGCAACCAAAGCATTTTATATTTAATTATAATTTTAAAAAGGTATTTCCATTACATTATGCAGCCACTATCATTTTCTAAAACTGGAACGATTCAGACGTCAATTATATCTGTGGCGGTATATATCTGGGAATGTTCTGCGTGCAGTTTGGCAGGCAGACCCTCCTACTTAGCAGAGATCGAGGATGTTACTGAAATGACTTGTCTGAGTATAGGCAGAACTGACACAGGTATCAGTCTGCATTGTTGGCTAACATTCTTATGATGGCTATAAACACTTTTTTAAATGATTGAGTTCTTTTCTTCCCCTTATAGGAATAATCGATCTATAGCTGACAAACTAATCGATAAGACAAATGAGAAAGTGGACTTCCCGATAGTTGGAAGAGACAATCATAAGTTATCAATCACATCTCTGTTTTCACCATGCAATATTATAATCTGATCGATCAAAATATGATGGCATTCATAAACAAAGCATCTCAGTATTGCCGTGATCCAACACAATCGATCATTTTCCATCCTGGCCGATCAACTTAATTTGATCTAATCCAATCTAAATTGATCAGAAGGGAAATTTGCCTATTCTTGCACCTTGATCAGATAATAAAATAGAAGTGCTTATGACCACCATTAAAATGTATTTTCACTTTAAGGAATTGGACACTGACACGAAGTGTATTAGGATGTTGGGTTCTGGATTTGTCTATTAATTGTTCTTTCTTTGCAATAATAGTAAATAGCAACAATTATTGATTATATTTTTAATCAGTGTATTGATTATATTTAGTCATTTCAGCAACTGCTTAATTTCAAACAAAATCTCCATTTTTGAACTGGTCCCAAGTTCTTTAACAAGCATGTAACACAAATACCACATATATACTGAGAGCTCTGCACCTAAATTGGACTTATTTGTATGCTATTTATGAAAGCTGGCATTTGTTCAGGCACATGAGTAGGACTAGGGAGAAGAACCCCCCCCCCCCCCCCCCCACACACACACACACACACACACACACATACACGCACACTCAGGAGACGTTCTATAGAAAGCCTAAGCCATCTCTATGTGCCGGTACACTGGCGTATAACATATGACATTCTACAAGTTAGCCTCCACATGCATCTCATGGTGTAATATCTGCATCTATGACTACAGATGAGTGTATATAGGTCAGTATGTATGTCCTCTGTTCCTGGCCACAGATACCGCAGTATGAAGAGATGGCTGGGTCCCTTCTCTGTTTCCATGACAACCACTGGGCTTATTCCATGTTGGCTTGATATAGAGCCGAGCTGCATCGTTCTACGTAAGACTCTCCATCCTCCCTCACTACCTATTACTCTCGCTCCAGCCCACTTCTCCTCACTGTCGCCTTCTATCCATTCCTGCATTTCTCTGTCCCCTGTACCTCAAGCCATCTCCCTCTGCTTCTCTCCCTCTATGAAACAGGATTTTGCTGACAACTCAGGAGGTAGGTGGCAGCTCCCTCCCTCGCTCTAGAAGAACCGTCATTGGGATCCACAGCAGTAGGTGGATCAGGGTTAGAGTAGAGCCTGCATGAGTTGGCTTGCTAAATGTGGGGGTGTATGTTACTAACTGTATAGTAATAAGGGCTGTCCGGCATGGGTCTCGTTTATAAAGGGACTTTTTGTTTGCTTACAGCCACCAGTAAGATTCTCTCCTTCTTGCAGTTTGATGGTGAAAGTTTTTATCTGATTGGTGGCCCTGAGTAGTTATTGAGGACACTTTTTAAATAAGGTATATGATGTGTTCTGCCGCATTATCAAAAGGAAAAACTGTTCTTGTTGGCTGTTTCAACCAATTCAATTCAAACTTTCTTTCCACCACTCTTCACTAGACATGAAAGGAAGCACCTGATTGGTTGCTCAGTCACACCATTCCTTCTCTCATGAAGTGTGTTATTTTTTCTGTCTCTTACTTTCAAATGCTCTCTAAGAATTCAGTTGTATTGTCTGTTGTCTAGTCAGATTTGATTTCTATTCTGACTTCATTTCTTTGATCCTTAAGGTCCGTCCTTCTATCAACCTTTGTCATTCCTCTTCTTTAACCCTCAGAATGGCCAGTGGAGATGGAGAGTCACTGGAGCCACTTCTGGGTCCCCTGGAGCTAGAGTGCAAGATCTGCTATAATGGTTTTGACATGAAGCAGCATCGGCCTAAAGTTTTGGGCTGTGATCACCGCATGTGTGCCCGCTGCCTCAGGAAGATGGTATCCAACTGGGGTCAAAGCCCACCAGCAACACTGTGCTGCCCGTTTTGCCGACAAGAGACACCACTACCTGAGGACTTGCAACTTCTGCCAGATGACAGTGGCCTGTTGTCCAAACTGAGCTGCCATGAATGGATCCACAGGCGAGGTTGTACGGTGGCACCTGAGGTGCTTTTGAGTCCTGGGGGTCTCTGTCCCAACTCATCCGAGTGCCTAGTCATCACCATTATGGAGGTGTCAGATGAGCCTTCAGGGCCTGGTGAGCAAATGCCAGTACTAGACATCCTGAGAGTTAAGATCTCATCTAGTCTAGCATGGCTACCTGGTTCCTGTGTTCCTCACCACTGCTGCCCATGCAGGCCCGTGCCACGTATCCTGCTGGGTTTTCTGTGCCTCGTGTATATTAGTTCACTGCCCCTTGGTGTCTACCTTATGATGACTGGGCATCTACTGGGCATCATTCTGGTTAGTCTAGTGCCATGTACCCTTATACTCAGTCTCTTGTGCTATTGTTTTTGTCATGAGCTCTCTGCTTGCCTTGCTGACTAACACAAACTTTAACTCTGTACCCAACACTGATTGTGTAAGAACTGTGTCACCAGCATCCCTTCACCTCCACTGACTGTGGTGAATCCACGACTCTTACACACTCCAGGTGTGCCAAGTCTGTGCCCTGTTTAATTCTATATGTCTTACATTTTAAAATGCAACACCAGCCATAACCACAACAATCTGTGTCTGCACAGTCTGGATGTGACCCATCACCCTTCCTTCAATATGTATTCCAGACACTATCAGACTTTACAGATGAAATTGCAAACTTTTGTTTTGGCCAACCCCGTAGCTTCTGCTCTCTTCTATTTTTTTTTTTTTTACAGTGTACCTGCAACAATTATTTTGATTCAGCTTCTTTTAAAAAGAGTGAGCCCAACCAAACCTGGAATTTTTATCTTTGTTGGATAGCAAAAGATATCAAAAGAGTAAAATCAGTATGATCACATTTCTCACAGACCTTAAAGCCCAACTGAACATCAAGCAAAGCAATATTAAGTTAAATGGATACTCCAACAGCCTCCATTTTCTCAGATTGTCCTTCGCTTTCCTGTTGCAGCAGTTGTACACTATGTCTAAATGTGACTTTGCAGTCCAGTAGGAACCAGAGTTCGGCCTAGTGTGCTTGGTGATCTAATAGACCTGCCCAGACACAACCCCTCGAATTTGAAAGCACAAACAATTTGACACATGCCCCCTGGTCAGACACACTCTCCCCCGGTCAAACACACCCCCCGCTCTCCCTCAACACACACAAAACTGTGTGAGGACACTTTTTATGAAGGTGGTGGTCATTTCCCACCTATGGCAAGCAGAAACCAGTGGAAGATCTGGATGTATATTTCTATTAACAGGAAAAAAAAGCATTTTAAGTATTTCCAAGCAACAGTGGTTTAAAACTCCTATGAGTGAGGGTACATGACTATAAAAAGTTTTTTAAAAAGTTAGACTTTAGTTAGGCTTTAGGCATGAGGTCTCCCTGCTCTGCCCACATGCTCTGATTTCCAAGTAAGAGGGCCTCACTCCACTAGCAGTATTCGATGCATATAAACAAAATGAATACAACAGAAAATCCAATTAAAACCCTGGGAATGGTGATCATAATGGTCACAGCAGGCAGAAGAGTTGGGCACAGGTCTAGACACCTCAAAACACAAATACTTTCTCCTTAAAATGTGCAAAGACCAGGTGCATGAAGCAACTGATGGTCACCAATCCAATCTAACCTTTCATTTATCTGCCCCATTCTCTGCTGCTAAACTCTAATTTCTGGTTAATGTTCTCAGTTAATCCATACAACTGTTGGTCCCAATATGTTATTAAATAAATCCATATGTGGCCTAACATTCATAGAGGTGCTTTTATAAGGTACAAATAGTAGCATATAGTCACAACTTCAAATACAAAAAACAACAAGAAAAGAAATTTAAGATGCTGTGGGTATAGTCGAATCAGTTACCTTGTCTCAAATTTGTTCTTTGACAACACCACAGCTACTTTAGTTCCAGTAGGACACGCAAAATTGTGGTCAAATCTGATCTTTGGATTCCATTTTGCCTCCGGGGAGTTGTTGAGTACAGCTGCTATTTGTATACCCTGCAATATTTTTCATAAAAGCAAAACCTAATCATTCCAACCAGCAATAGCAACTGCCGGTCCTTGAGCTTACCACTCAATAGGTTCTGACACATAATGTAAATTAATATCTTTCCTTATGGCAGTTCCAATATTGGTGACATTGTCTGCTTTCATGGTACTTAAGACAGGCATGTTGCATGTCAGCTTTGATAAAGTAGGTGATACCATATTGATTTCCTCTGCATGGACTGCCTGTTGTTGGTATTGTATAAAACAGTGCAGCGGAGTTGAACCTTAGTTCAACCATGTTATAAATAACATCACATAGTAAAGAATGTGTATCTACCCATTTTACCCCTTATTGGTGCAACCTCATGGATCTCTCTCATCAGCTATTTACTACAGGAAATGTACTGTATAAATGTTCTCTGGAATTGCTGCTCTGGTTGAGACTATGGGTGGGAAGGTAGAGCTAGATATGCATATGGGGACCTCTTCTGAGGATGGGTCACCATAAACCTCCCCACTGTTGCTGATCATAGGCCTCAAGGCACACATAATGAATTCATAATTGTATGAGAGACAAGAGATTGGGTATGCCAATTACTAAATAACAGCCTTGAAGAATGTCTCCCCATCCTCCCCCCTTTGTCTTCTTCACCATCCTACAGGCGAAATAACAACTCTGGAAAAATATATACATATCTCATTCCTTTGACTTTTGTAATTCTTCAAATGTCATCATTTTTTCAGTTCAACTGGTATAATTGCCAGGAATTTGTCATTATAATGAGACAGCACATGCTAGCTAAAAGGTGAAGTCTTTCAGTGCCTGCTTTATGTACTGGATGGTGGGAAGGCAAGGTAATTGGCTAGGTTTGAAGGAGGAATAGAACTTGAAGCTGAGCACCAGGCAAATAGCTAAATATATGGTTCAAATATATATAAGCGAGCTAACTTACCTGACAAATGATTTGTATTCCTGTACATCCAGTCCTTAAATTTACACAGCCCTGTCCAACAACCAAGCCAAGTTGGTGACTTGAATTTTCTGTACTGCCTTTAATGTGGAACGTCAAGCAGCTATAAAAAATGAATTCAGTTCCATATTCAGAAATAGATCATAAAATGTATTTTTTGGAAATGCAAGCAGTGTAACTACTCGCTTTTGATTTGGTATCAGTCTTTTGCACTATACTGTACAATCTTCACAGCAGAAATCATAAGGTGGGGGAGGGGAAGCAGCAAAAAGAGCCATTTGGGTGTGCTGTATTGGAAGTATCCATGCTGATAGGAGGAGAGATCAGAGATGAGTGCCTCAGTGTGCTGCTACTTCTTTACTCAATCACAGGGTGGAAGTGGAGATAGGGAGGAGGCCTGTATGTGAAAGTGAAACTATAGCAAAAAAAAGATTGATCCCCTTGCCTTCTAGACAGAGCTATGCTATAAGGCAAAGCTGTGTAAATCTCAAGACTGGATGGACAGAAATAAAAATCCTTTGGCCGGTAAACCAGCTCCTATATATGCATGTTATCTGTATATTTAGATGTTTGCTGTGAGTTCAGCTTTAAGCAATGTAGATGGATTGGACAGTGAAAGAGAAGCAGCACACTGGTAAGCTTACCCTTCTGCTCACTCTGCTGTTTCCTGCAGCACACCTGATTGGCTTCTAGTGCGTCCCCCTTCCTCTCCCTGTTCCAGGGTAAGTCAAATATTTACATTAGTTGCTTTAAAAATACAAAGAATGGTTTTATCAGAATAAAAGATGCATTATTTTTATAAATCTGCTTGGAACACTTTTCCGAACTCTGAGAAAAGTAAAAACCCTCCCTTGCAGTTGGGCTGTGCCTGTTACTGCAGAGGTTAAATGCTGATTTCTATCTAGGGCACAGGTATCAAACACAAGGCCCAGGGGCCGAATCTGGCCCTCCAGGCCATTTTCATGTGGCCCTTGCACCTCTCTTTCAGGTACCCCCTTGTCTCCTCCCCCACCTTGTCTCAGCAGTCAGCAGCAGAGAGAAGAATAGAACTCCTTTGCCAAATCTTGCACTTCTCAGTGCAGCTGCAGCACCCCCTCATCTCTGCCTCCCCTGGTCTCAGCAGTCAGCAGACTCTGGTAACTGATTCCACTCCTCCTCTGGTCCTCCTCCAGACCCTGCACTTTCTGCTTTCCAGCTCTGTCCCCAAAGGGGGTGCACATTGATGTTAGGGAGGGTGTGAGATTCTTGACATCTGATGTAATGGGGGTGGGATGCTCTGGACAACTAACCTTAAAGATACAACCAGTCCTCTGAGGGCAACCATAATGCTGATACGGCCCGCGATGAAATAGAGTTTGACACCCCTGATCTAGGGGATGGAAAAGCACTTTTATTTACCCAGTCCTCCGCTTCCCCAGAATACAAAGCTCCCCCATTCTTTAGCAGTGGACTGCTCCTCAAGCATCCTCATGTTCAGTGCAGTGCTATGGGTACTGCATTGGTCTTGATGATGTCAGAGGATTTAAGACTGCTGGAGCATAGGGGAGAGGAGTCTGCATCTCACTGGTCTAACAGCACAGGGGAGCCTGCAGGAGTGAAGGATCAGGTAAGTAAAACTGTTTCTCCAAGTTCCCTAGATATGACATTCCTAAACAAGCATTTAACCCTTGTAGTGGGGCTGCATTTTTACCTTTCCTGGAGTTCAGGTTTAAGGTGGACATCATCAGTTTTTACAGAGTAGGTGGAAGTTGGGGCAGTGAGAAGGGCTGCAGTGTTTTTTTCCATCCTTATGCTTTTCAGTGTTTTATCACAGCAGAGGTTGTTGAAATCCAAGGGTATGAGCAATACAATTTTTTTCCTGCAAAAAAAACCTCCTAGTACTAGTGCATAAATCTATATTTATTTGAAAAGAATTGTCCCTATAAGATATCTGTGTACACAGGGCTGCTATTAGAAACCATGGGGCCCCATACAGTCAAACTGACAGGGCCCCATCCTCCAAAAAAACACAGTTTACTATGCTTTGGTTATGAATGAACACAGTGATCAGTACCAATCACTCATTGTGTTCATTTATACCCCGGGTCACATCAAACCCTACTTTGACTTACAGTGAAGTAGCACGATTTCAAAGTTGGATGCCATGCCGATTTCAGGTGCAATTTGCAAGACATTTGATACAGATGGCTATGCAAATCACACCAAAAGTACTGCATGCACTACTTTAGAAATCTGTGCAGCGGTGATCAAGTCAGAACCGCACCAATATGACTGCTCTAATTGCGGACAATAGGCTGCGATTTGGCATGCAATTTGCAAGTCGCATAACAAGATCGGGGTCTTAGGAAAGGAAGGGGCTGGTAAATGTGATATATTAACCGGACCTTTCCCCCACTCTCCATCCTGAAGGATCCTATTGTATTCTTGCAGCTGCTGGTG